TGCTTTACTGACAAGAGGATACGTAACCTGGTGGTGCAAAGTTAGCACTTGAATGCTGGGTCTCTTATTAAGTTATGCAAACAAGGAAACCTAATAAAAGATAACAATACTTGTGTTCTTTATCTGAATGGAGATAACAGTGGAAATTTTATTCAATGCTACTATATGAGGTAATAAATGTGAAAATATTTTCTATAGTGCCTAGGACATTGTAGATCCTCAATAAATACTTGTTGAATCAATACTTAAGTCTTTAAGTATCCAATAAGTCATTTTAATAACCTTGGTTCCCTCTGACCTGCCCTTCTATGTCTTATCCCTTCAAATTGTCGTTTACACTAAGGCCCTAAGAGTCTGGCAAAAGCAAGTCAAACTGATCTCAATTTCACATTTTCCGGGCTACATCTATCCACACACACTTTTTGCCCTATTAAAAAACACCAAGCAGGGGTTCTGTTGCCGTCTGTCAAAAATGTGTAGTGCTCACATTGTCTTTCAGGGATTTACTACCTCAGTCTGCCTCATTCACCATCCTTTCATTCTAGTGCACACACTCTGCTCTCACTAGAAGGGTTTTAGACTCGTGCTCCTCCTCGGCTTGGAAGGAAGTCTAGCTCTGAAGCTCTGCCGCCTCACCTTTCCCTGGAGGTCTCTCTTTTCCTTTCCACTCTGTGCTCCACAGGGTTCCCAAGGGCTGACTTTCCAGAGGTGGATTTCCAGGTGTTTTTCCGCAGCACCATCATGTGGAGTCCAAGCCTTTGATTAGCAGCCAAGCAGTTAACCACCTTCTGGACTCCTTCTGAAATCCTACTCTGGCAAATTCAGGAAGATAACTTTTTTCTTAGAGTCAAAGACATTATCCTCTCCTGTTTCACTCTCTCTTTCTTCACAAATGTGAAAATTTTTCTTCTCTGCATTCCTGAATTGATTATAACTCTTTGACCAGGTTTTCACAAGCGTATTTGATTTCCCTTTCACAGTGCCTAAAATCATACATTGCAGTAAACTCAAAAATGTAAAGTGTTCTGGATAGTCTGAATTATCATAAAAATCAAATTAGAGAACATGTTTCCCTTTGGTGATGATTCACTTATTTAAGCATTTTCACCAAAGTAATATCCCGAATATGGCAAAGATTTACTAGCAGAGAAGATTAGCAATCAAACAGTACTTACTTTATGTACTATTCTAAAGCACTGCTTTATAAAATAAGCTACAAGGGGCTTCAAAAAGCTAGTGGAAAAATTAATTTTCTTTTAATTCCATTTTTCCATGGACTTTTGGAAGCCCTCTCATATCAACCACATGCTGTGCATTAAAGGTATATTTTATTGCTCAAAATTTATGTATGAGATTCCTAAAATACGAAAAAGAAAAATCACAACTCTTATTTTGCAACATCTTCTTGAACTGAAGTATTTCTGCTTGCATGTGTGTATCTTGAGCCAGGAAATTTCTGGCTCAAGATTGTAGGCAAAATTTCCTAAGACTACTTTCACATTGTCCCAAAGTTGTAGATGGGCAACACTGCTTGCGCCTTATACAGCCTATGAAGTCCAATTTATGGGCAATTCCTGCTTGCCCTTCAATGTTACCTAAATTTGCCTTCACTCTGAAACTACTGAGCCAACTTCTGCTCATAATAAATTCTTCGTCACAGTCGCCCTCACTTGCTGCATGTGCAGCTTTTACGTCATTGAAAAAGCTTTGAGCCTTTCCTTGCACTGAATTAAGGCTGAAAAATAACCACGCGCACCTGTTCCAATTTACCTACAAATCCCTTAAGACAGTTTGGATTGGATCTCATTCTTACCCAGGTAATGCCTGGACCTCGCTTTTCACAGTGTCCACAGGTAGGTTTGCATTTCCTCTTTTAACCACAGTCTACCGGCTTGGGGGTGCTAGGTGTACCAAAAGAACAAAGGGTACTCATGGCTTCTTCTGAACAACACCCCAAAGTTAATCCTGCTTCTGGAAACAGGCGTATCATTCCAAAATGATGCGGTGAGTGTGCTTCATTTAAAATAATAATAGTAGTAATTTAAACAGATTATATTGCTGAGCCAGCCAATTGATTCTATGAGAATGGCAATTTGTATCTCATAGAAATAGTAATTGAGACCAGTGACCACCTTCCATCGAGACATGACGTGCCCTTCATTTCAAATCCCATATTGCATTTTGCAAAACGTTTCTGGGTACTAAAGAAAAATAAAAGCTTTAGCTTGCAGCACAAATCTCTGTTCTTAGTATTTATAGGCTGTCAACTTGTAACTTTTAACACACTTAATTTTATTTCTGCTCTACTAAGTTCTCTAGCGGTAACAATTAAGTTTTGATAGCAATGATTGTCTTCAAAATGAAGATATATTGAGTTCTTCTAAGTGCATGTGTGGATAATGCTATCAGTGTTCTGTACCCAGTTCATCCAAAGCTAATAGACAACATATATAAAGGGATGTCAAAAGCTCATGGAAAAATTCCATTATCTCTAGTTTCAATTTGTTCATGAACTTTATGAAGCCCCTGGTATTTTACCCATAGTAAGGGGATTGGAGGGAGGGGGAGTATCAAAATGGTCTTTCGCTTTTACATTAGCATATTGAAAATTCAATTCACCAAGTTTTGATTCGTACAATTCCTTTAATTATTGAGAAAGCAATTTTGCCATTTTCTTTCCTTTGAAATACTTCCAACATTGTGATGTAGATCTTTTGGAAGATATTTGGTGATTTAATTTCAATGATGCACAAAACAAGCCCAAGAAATATTTCATTTCATTTACAAAGCAGCTATTTTGGAAACAGTGAACTTTTTGCTTCAGTACTATCATATGTTGAATTTATTTCAACTTGAATGTTTTCATGAGAACCGAATTAATAAGGAGGCTGAGAAATTGTTGAAAGCTAATCAATATTATGTGAATGCAGATATTAATGTAAACTACATCAGTCTTGTTCCAAATTCAGTATTTCTTAAGAGTAAGTGAATTTTGCCATACTAAATTTTAATTCTCAGGATCTAAATTTTTCTTAAGGTTATCATGTCATGGTACTAGAACTAAAATTTCCAAACAGAATAGACACTGGTTTCTTTTAAAGCGTTTTTTAAATCTACAGGCCTGATTGACTGTTGAGTATGCAAGTGTTCATAGGATTTTAACTGTATTTCCCCCCCTCCCACCCCCCCACCCCCGAAGGGCATAAATCCTGTGCTAGAGAGTTCAAAGGTGAAGGGCTCAAATGGCAATTGTGGAAATTCTAGTTTGTCTTTGAAAGTTGCTTTGATTACTACATTTTTGTTGTTGTTAGCTGCCATTCGGTCCCACCACCCCCACCACCCCCAGTCATGGGACCCTGGGCACTACAGAAGGAAAGTGTGCCATCTCTGGGACTGACTGTCGATATGACCATGGTGATACATAGAAAATTGCACTGGCTGATTTTGGGAAGTAGATCTTCCTACTCTGTCTTTAGAAATGCCCCTGAAACTTGTTCAGCATCTGTGCAGCACACTCACCTCCAGTGACAAGCTGTTGGTGGCTGTGCATGCAGTGTATTGGTTGAGGATGAAACTGAAGTCTCCTGGTTGGAGACAACAATTCTACCACAGACCTACCAGCCAGCAGGAATTAGTAAACCGCACTAGCCCATAGAAATCTAAGTAAACGCATTACAGAGAGCTTCAAAACTTCTTTATAGGAGTAGGTGTCAGGACAAGGACAAATGCATGCAAATCCCACTTGCTCCTCCCCAGAAGTATGCTGGCATGTGAAGCCAAGACGTGGATAACCCCCTACCTCCTATCCCAGGATTAGAGGTGAGTGAGCCCAGATCTTTGCAATAAGGAAAGCAAATGCTGATTACAGTTTCCTGACAACAGGAGTCCACTGCCTATTGGGGTCTAGCTTTTTTTAGAAGATAAAACACAGAGGAGAGGAGCAGGCGGGAGGGTGGGGGTAAGCTGAGGATGATTCCAGTGGTGGGAAGTGTCCTCCCTTCTGCTTCCAGTAAAATGTGAGTAAGGAACCGTTGACGCTGCCGGCTAGGGAAACTGTGCCATAATGCTCAAGTTGTGCAATGGCTGTGGGGACCTGGGGGTCACTGGTAGGGGACGTCTATAGATGGAAAAGCACCTTGGAATACAGAGGGGGTTCCACACAAGGAGAAAATCCATAATCTCAGCACCCTTCTGTTTCCAGAACACCCAAGGCAAAGCATGCTCTGTGCTTGCCCTGGCACCTGCCCTTGGCCCTAGGTGTTCCTCTCCCCGGCACCTGCCCTTGGCCCTAGGTGTTCCTCTCCCCGGTGCTGGTGGCAGGATGGCTCACCAAACCAAATCAAACTCACTCCCTTCGTGTCAATTTTGACTCCTGGAGACCCTCTTGGACAGACTAGAACTGCCACTGTGGGTTTCTGAGCCTGTAACTCTTTATGGGAGTAGAAAGCCCCTTCTTTCCCCGGCCCCCCACCCCGCGGAGCAGCGGGTGGTTTCCAACTGCATAGCACAGGGTTAGCAGCCCGCCTCTGAACTTACTCCGCCACCAGGGCTCTAGTGGACAACAGGTCTGTGGTTTCCATGTTTGCATAACTAGCACCTAATGAGACACAGTTAAACGCACTGGCAACTAGTCGATTCCGCCTCGCAGCGAGCCTGTCTAGGATTTCTGAGGCTGTAAGTCTTTAGTGAAGCGGATAGCCTCATCTTTCACCTACGGAGTGGCTGGTGGAGTTGACCTGCCGACTTTGAGGTCAGCAGACCAACTTTTCCTGGACAGCGACACCAGGGTTCTTAATGGAAGGTCTATAAAGAAAGTACTCGGAACCTTAAATGAGTGGTTCAGCTTTGAAGCGCTGGGGCTGTGAGGCCCCCGCTCCAACCCTTCTAAGGCTCCAAGGTTGCAAACTCGGCCCCGCAGAAGTCTCGGCTTTCACCAGTGGTCTTTTCCCGTCTGCATGCACAGCTACCCCAACCTCCGTTCCCCTAGAGCCACCACCTACCAGCAGCGGCGACCAGCAGACTGACAGCACGCACATGATCCCCATGAGCTGGATGGCCGTCTCGGTGGTGATGCGACCCCATTGGGCGCTGGACTGCGACGCCGTGGCCTTGGCCCTGCAGCGAGACACTAGAGCCTTAATGGTGGCCAAGTTGCAGGCGAAGGTGATGGCCAGCGCTGACAGCCCCAGGGTGGCAAAGGTGGAGGCGAAGAAAAGGTTGCCCCAGTTGTCCCGCGAGCTCGTCGCGTTGCCCGCCGCTCCTCCCGTGCTGATGAAGCACCACGTCCCGGGCCACTGCACGGTGTACTGGCCCACGCCCAGCACCGGCAGCAGGGCGAAGGTGAGCACGGCCAGCCACACGCCGAGCAGCACCAGGCGGGTGGCGCGCGTCTTCATGTGGCTCG